AAAATGACCCGTCTATTTAAGGTAAAGAATCATAAAGAAGAGGATAATTAGCTTTTTTAAAATTATATACGTCAGTTAAATTGTATTGGAAATTTTCAGGCTGAGAATTATTTATTTGAATGAATATCTTCATTTAAGAGGCACTCTAGTGATCTCCTAACTTCACAACTTCTGTTTGATAGTACTAAATCGAAAATGGTTTCATTAGTATTTACAACATTACTAAATTGCTTCATGTCAAAATATTCGTAAAATCGTTGCAAAGCACGTGCACGGTCGCTTAACTCAATATTAACCTAGAATATTAAAATCCCCTATAAAATAAACGTTCTCATCATTTAAATAGTCCAAAGACTCAATGAGCTCAAAAGGAACATCATACAAGACATGCTGTATATTTGGGGATATATAAATAGCGAAGAGAAAGATATTCTGAAAATTAATAATTACTTTAAGACCGTCGATATCTATTTGTCGCAAATATTCATGTATAAAATCTACGTTGAGTTCAACGTAGATATAATTTTTGTTTAACGCAATAAGTACAACTCCACCTTTACTATTCTTGGTTTGTGCAAAGTTACGGTCACATCTTATAATATTGCAGGACAGAATTTCTGTATTCAGAATGTGCGCATTCAGCCAAGTCTCTGTAAAAGCATATATTATATATCATATTTACAAATTAACGATGCAAGAAATAGATCTTGCAATTTTGTATTTGTTCCGCGCATATTCTGATAGTAAATATCTACTGGAGGAATTAAGGGAGGGGCAGTATTAGTGTGACAATAGTGATTACTGATTAGATTGATCAGGGGCCTCATTTACTGTGGTGGTACCCGCTTACATTATATTAAGATGCCTTCGAACGTCTGCTGCATAATGGGGAGGCTCACCATCCCGTTGATACCACAGGCTTTCGTCAACATTTCCACATTAATTCTACTGGGGAGTAAATTTGATAACGCTAGGATGAGATACCCCATTAAAAATTGGAGATATGCCGGTCCGTTTACAGTTCCATCAAAAAAATAGGGTCCAATGATTCTATTTCTTACAACTCCCGCCCACACCTTACGTTTTGTGGATATTGTGTGTGCTGCTCCCACACCCATTGAGGGTTTTCCCTTGCCCAGTATACCAATTTTGACGATTTACTTTTACCATTTAATTTGAAAGTGCATTCATCGGAAAAAAAAATATCAGATGAGGACCGTCATTGCACATATTCATTATTGTTTCACAAAATTGTATTCTCCGATCTGGATCATCATCACTTAGTTCTTGCACAAGCTGAATCTTAAAGGGATGCCATTTTTCTAATTTTAATACTGCATGTACTAACGTTTTAGTGACACCATAAGCGCGACTAATCTGACGAACGCTGGTATGTGGATTTTCTTCAGCAGCCAGTAAAATATTTAATTTTGTATCCTCGTCAACACCTGGACGACCTGTTTTGGGTAAATCTTCCACCATACCAGTCATTCTAATTTTTTTTCCGTTTAATTTACTGTCGATTAAGTTAAGGCTCGTTCTAGATATTTAGTATCAAACAAATTACCTACTTCTTGTTGAGGTCGCATCGTATCACCATACCCAATTATCGTAAGAATTTCAATTCCCTGCTTTACAGATACAATCATGTTATAAATTAAAAAGAAATCGACAATAATTATAGAGAAACCACTACTGAGGTAAAATATTATTAAGTGATTCTCTGTCAAAGATGATAATAATAAAGCAAAAAAACAAACAAAAACTAACCTACTTCAAAAATTAATAAAAACGTGTTCATTTTACTTTTTTACTTGTTTTTTTCAAATGGCCATACCTTCCAACTTATCAATTTTAGACTCTAAGTGTGATACATATTTGAAATCAGCTGTTAAAGCAGAATCCCAATAGTATTATATTTAAAAAAATATCGACAACATCATAACTGAAACAGTGATGACGTCATAACCAAAAAAATAAAGGCTAAGATGTGCAATTGAAATTAAAAATCGACATGTCCGAGCATTTTTTTCCAAATATTTTTGGTTTAAGAAATAATGAATTTATTCCATACTTTACGGACACACTGTAAAATAGCAAGAAGAAGTATTTAAACCACAGATAAAGGCCAGTGTGTTTCGGTGGCAAAAAAAATTTCGGCGACTAGATAAAATAATTTAAATGCCTGAAACAAAGCGGACAATTTTTGCCAAATTTGTTGTTACATACGTTTTAATTTCTAGCGATTGACAAAGTAGTGTATTGGAAACTACTTTTATTTCATGTATTAAATGACTGACAAGCTGTTAAAAAATTTTAAATGCTAAATTTTACTACTTACACCGGACCAAGTTAATGAGGTATCAAATCAAATTTTCCGAACAAAACGATAGTTGTTTAATAAAATTAAAAGTGATATTGATGGTCCACTTTTTTATGAGAATGGGCATAAAAGAAGGCTTGTTGTTGACGCATTTATCGGCTATTTAATATCTGAGCGTTTCGATTTTTTATTTTTATTTTAGTGTAATTTTGTTATTCGTTCGACGCATAAGTTGCATTTAGGTGAGGTTAAAAGTGAAAATAATTCACCTAATAGCTCTACAAGACATGTTATTTACTTATTACCATGTACTTGTAACTTCGACATCATGTCCCATTGTGATATATAATTAGAAGCATGTCTTTATTAGTCACAAATTATTTATATTTAAAAAAACCAACAATTTATTAGCGAATGAAGAGAATTACAGCATTTATTTTTGTTGCACATTATGAAATAACTACGACTAAATAGATTTGTTCGTCGCAAGAACATCTTCTAAATTGTCATTAGTTGCAATATATGGTTTCATTAATTTTGCCTCGGGAAATTGGATTTTCTTTTTTCCACATAAATCTAAATCAACATGAATACTATTGAAACAAATCCTCACAGAAACTTAAGTTGCTGAAATAATTTTTCGTGTTGAATTATACCAGCCTAGATTAAAAGTATGAAATTATATTTTTGATGACGTAACTATTAATAACGATTTCATTTGCATGTGTACCTAGATAAATTCCATACACTTTCTGTAGTACTAACTAAAGATAGATGGAAAGTCTAAGTCCCAAAAAATCCCAAGAGTGACATATCGTCACTTTAATCTGTAAACATCATCAGTTCAATTTATCTCAAAATTGAGATTTGAGCGTCATCTGCTACAAAAAATTAAAGCTAGACTTGTTTCAAACGTGTAATTCTTGAATGTTTTTACAACCTTGAAACTGAAAGCAAAGCAAAATAAGTTGTATGTCCACACGTGCCTAGGTTAAACTTTAATGAAAAAAGTCGTATGTCCACCAGTTGGAATGTAAATAATGTGGTAGCCCTTTCAGCTGTTTTATTTATAAAGAAAGAAATATTTTTACAGTAATTCTGTAAAGTATTGTGACTAACAATTAAAATAAAAATATATTGAGTTGCACCATTTATCATTTTGTTTTTCGTCTATTCTGTAAAATTTTGAAATGTAGATTTACGACCAATACGTTTTGATCCGACGTTATACCTTTTTTTATAATAAATAAACACCACATATAGTATACAATTCCCTGTATCCCTAAATTAACGTTCTGGGGGAGGAAGTGAACTCTCTGACAGTTAATTCCACTGCCATGATCGGCAATCGAACCCCGAACTTTTTGGCGAGAGCTAACTATGTTGAATCTCGGTCTCGACCGTCAGTCATATACTATTTACGTACTTTCAATTTTTTGCGAATTTATGAATTTATGATCATATAAATATCAGCTGACATACTACTCAGTCATAATTGAGTTTCCAAATGATGAGTGGAAAACTGTAGATGATTTAGTTAACCTATTGATCATATTGAAGACAAGTCAAATATTCTGACATTTGGCTGAATATTATTTCAGTTTCAGTTTCAACTGTGTTAAGTTTAATTCCATCCATTAGATAGTGTTATATACTTTTATACAGACGTTAGTCTGTGTGATTAATAGAAAATGGTGATCAAATAATAAAGTACGAATGTCCGAATTTAAATCTATTTGTATTAAGTGCTTTAGTTAATAATCAATTCTTGCTTCCTAAATATCTATTTTTTATGATTTCTTGAAAATGACTTTCCTTTCTTTTAACTATTAACGAAATTTTAAAATTGTAACATGCAACATTTCAGATCACAAATAGCGAACATCAATAGGATAATTAAGACTTTCTCCGGTACAGAATTCAAAATAGATATACCCTATTTTGAATCTTCTTGAAGCCATTTTAACCATTTTCTCTAGGCCGTCTGTATGTCTATATTTTATAGTTCCTTGCGTATATTTTGAAACTAAGACAATTTATGAAATATTTCCTGGCAAGTACTTATTTAGAAACGTACTTAGACATCATTTAGACCTTGATTGGTGTGTGAGATAAAGCGAGTAACGTGAGATAATTGAAACCAGTAGTAAGGACATTTCATTAGTTAGATGATTTAATATCTGATATAGTTTTTTGGGAATTTCGGTCAGATATAACTAATTTAATTTTTTTCTTCAAACGTTTCGATATTTGGACCTTTTTTTATGTAGAAAAATTTAACAATATAGATATTTAACTTTGTTAACACAGAATATTATTCCTGCAATAGAAGTTCTTTATCCTGATGACAAAGATGATATTTGTTTTCCACAAGATGGGATACCCCTCACTTTGGATTAGACAGGTCAGACATTATCTACATAATGTTTGTCCAAACAGGTGAAGTGGAAGTAGAGTAGCCGCACGGTCACTAAATTTGATCGCCTGTGACTTTTTTAGAGGGTTACATAAAAGATCAAGTGGACAAGGACTTAGACAACCTGGAAAGTCGATTTGTTGGTGCAGTAAGGATAGGAGTTGAAGTATTTGTGAAAGTAAGGCGATCTTTTATGGAGAGATTAGGACTGTTTAATCAAAACAACGTTAGAGATTTTGACATTTGATATAATTATTGATGGGCATGATAGCTGAGTGGGTAAAGCGCTTATAGCTATTTACGCGGAACCAAATATCGATGGTTCGATTCCATCCTCGAGCAAGTTAGAAATTTTATTTGTAATTTGTTTCGGACTACGATGGGAGAAGGAATTGTCGATGTCATGGATGCGGTTCGTACTCCAATAAACTGTATAGCCTCGTCTCTCTTACCTAACACGAAATCCTACGATTTTCTGCGGTTACTTCGTTGACTTGAAAAGCGGTTAAGAAAACATTATAAAACTTTATTATGCATCGTAGGTACTTATTGCTATTTTGGTTTGTTGTATTATCATCGCTGCTGATTGTCATGGTTCATGTTGGTTGTGTTGGAGTAATTTACTGAGGTATAAAAATTATAAAATAATCCATTTTGATCATAATTTTCATTATGCAACCCCTTGAAAATATTATGCAGTCGTATACAGAGAAATTTCCAGAAAAAATATTGTGTGCCATTTGAGAAGGCAAAATTGATTACCACAGCAACGATACTATAGCAGAAAATAATTTCATTGTCACCAAAATATTTTGCACCATATGAGAAGTTTCACATACCTCTCACCACTACTCAATTTACCTTAGTCAGTATATGACTAGCAGGTTGGCCACTATTATTTGTCTGTTCCACAACATATGGCATACTGAGGAGAACTAATAAGTTCGAAACCGGTCTGTCTGGTTAGGAATTGACAAATGATATTGGCTACCGATCTATCATGATTTGAAGGTATAATCCAATGCAGATCGGGGTATTTGCCCGCTGAGTAGTTGTTTCGTTCAAATCATATTTAATAACAGTAGTTTAGTCCACCTGGGCTAGAGGTCGCTGCTCTCTGTACTTGCTTCGCAAGTCGCTATCCGCCACAGATACATCTATGTTGTCGGTAGGATAGTAGCATTTGGACCATATGAGAAGTTTCACATACCTCTCATCACTACTCAATTTATCTTAGTCAGTATACGACTAGCAGGTTGGCCACTATCATTGGTCTGTTCCATAACCTATGGCATACTGAGGGGAACTAATAAGTTCGAAACCGGTCTATGTCTGGTTAGGAATTGACAAATGATATTGGCTACCGATCTATTATGATTTGAAGGTATAATCCAATGCAGGTCGGGGTATTTGCCCGCTGAGTAGTTGTTTCGTTCAAATCTATTTAATACCAAATTATGTCAAAAAATTAGCAAGAAAACTTATATAAACAATAAAATATACATGCCATATTCCATATACACTGTGTAAATTGGAAAATGCAGCCAAGTGTTAACAAAGACCGATTAAACAAGCGAGATGGACGTAACAGTGATGGTGGGGGTCACGATTTGGGAGTGTATCGTAGATGGCTCGTGGGGCACAGATTGTAGCAGTGAGTTCCTTGACTGTACCCGTTCCGCTTTCATTTCGAGAAATGTATGTTAAGTAAACGGATGCATTCATTATTAAAATTTTACACATTCTCGAAAAATAATGGTTTATACGCCTGAGTAAAGATTTCAAATTATAGTATGGCATCACAACGGCATATCAGAATGTCGATTACAAAATTTTTTGGAAATATGTTTCTAAATGGACCGATACCAACTAGAAGTACAATTCAAAATATTATGCATAATATTGTCATTCATGGTTGTCTATCTCCGACTAAACATATAAGGGAACAACAGCCAAGACAAATAAATTTTCTGCCAATAACGTCACCGTGACGCAGTTGGAACACCAATATTTTGATTGGCTAAAGCCAGATAACGCACTTCTTGTAAACAAATCACCCCCACCCACCCCACCAAACCACAGCCTATCCTTGCGTTAGCTGAACGTGTCTTATTCAATCTCATTTCAACCTAGTTCTCTTTTTCTAACTGGCCGAAGAATTCGTTAGACGTACTGTATATCCCGGATCGAGTATATTTAATTTAAATGACATATTTACTTTCTGTAAAATTCTGAAACTCGCATAAATTTGAAGAAGCACGTAATGCAGATATCTTTAAAATATTGTTATCGTAGACTGCTGTTGGAGCAAATTACTTATCAGAGGCTTTATATGGCTCAGAAGATACCCGTTATTAGTCATTAATGGGTCTAAAGTTCAGTTTAAAATTATTACTAAAGTTTTCAATAATAATCCGTGATTAAGCTTGGATTTTTAATCAAACTTTGATAATACCTTTCTTTGCTAGCAAGTTCTCAATTTATGGTCAAATAAAATTTATCTTATTTGAATTTCATTTCAAGAAAATATCGATGGACATTTTTTAACTTAAGATAAATATGTTCGTTAATGTGCATCGATGTAAGATTTATCTCTAAACATCGTTTATCTACCTACTTGATGAAATCCAAATGGTTTGTTTTAATAGCTTTGATTATATATTTTTAATACTATATAATCGAGACAAAAATTACGTCTCTCGTCTACACAATTTATTTTGGACTATAACAGATTCTATGGTATTGACGTATATTCTTTAATTTCGTGGGACATACAGTGCGAGTAAGGAGGGCAGAACCAGTACACTATAATATTTAATATGAACTTTTTGAAATTTTATTTTATATCCTTGTTTTTTGCGATTTTCTCTTTTTGCTGTTCAAAATAATCAAACTAATCACACACCATCTCATTCTACAGATTTGAACTTAGTTATTTTTTCCGTGAGGAGAGAGAAAAACAAAGTTTACCAAAGAAAGGGAATTCTTGTCGAATTAATAATTATAAGTACTTAAATATTTACTTGTGTCTTATAACGATGTTGGTCGTGTACAATTTGAGCTCTTACTCTTTTTTAAAATCGTTTGTCGATTGATTCGAAAAAACATGGAAGTACTCAATCCCGGCTGAATCAGCCAAATACAGAAGATGGTCATTCTGAATTCTCCCCGTCTGCCTAGGGCACATGATTCTGGAATCTACAGACACTAACCTTAAAGGATGCTGGGAGCGGCTGTAGGTAATTTGCTGGTGTTCCTCACGTGTGGTTCGGAGGCCACGGGAAGGCTGTCCAGCGTTTGGGTAAAAAAAATAAATAAATAAAATCTCTTTTATTACGTTCTAGTATCAATTGTTTTATCGTCTTTTTATAGTTGTATGACTAATATTTATAAATTTATTACAAAATTGTATAATGCCAACATTAGATAACAGTAATATATGAACTATCATTATTATGTATTTGTAATATAAAAATGTTTTGTAAATATTTCGTCCTTGTTGCATTAATTATTGATGTACCAAATACATAAAATTGATTTAAATTTGCTACAAAATGTGGTCTTTATCAATTGCAAATATGTGGTTGGATGTATTAATAGAGCAACTGTGATATATGTCATAAAGGAGATAATATTATGTTATATATTATGCACTATTTTCTTATAAACATATAATTATTATAAAATGACTTTATATCAATTTTAGTTTAGTTTAGTTCGCAGAAATTAGACAACCCCTAAAATCCAAAGGTGAAGCTGCACGAGCGAGGGTTACACTTATGAAAAAAACGCGGTCATACAAGCATTCCAGCCGACATTGCCAAGTGCCGGTGGCGGGATTCGAACCCGCAGCTACTATAGAGAGACTATCTATTCATAATTGCCATCGCGCGCTCTAGTCAATTACTCCACCGAGTAAATGGCTAGAGTAATTTATTTTTAGTACGATTTGGATAATTTTAACATCAAATTATTTATATATTTAAACGTTTTGCATTAAACCAGTTCTTATTAATTCTAGTTACATAGTTACTTTACCAAACTCGTAAAAGTACTTACTTTTGGGAAAATGTATTTTATTTTAAACATAAATTACAAAAGAGTCATCAAAATGAACAGTGGATAATAAATGTTAAATTTCAATTTCAATCTTCTTTCCCATCTATCATAATTCCGTATTTAATTGTCTCCTCAATCTTCATAACAGAAGTTCGCTAACTAGTAAAATATATTCTTGACAGTCTGTTAATACAACATTTATATGTTTCTAGTGGTATTATTCCAGTAATGAATTAAATGTAATTCACTAAGATAATTAAAGTTTGTAAGTACAATTTGAGAAATTAAACTTAAGGTGAATATTTTCGTTTTCAGAAATATACGATCCTTGATCATTTTTACACTAATTATTTACATAATTATATGTCGGACTATTTATACATTGGTATTGGAAAAAGTTTACGTAGAGTGCTTGCTTTGTGTGTGTGCATAAAGGAATAAAAATAGCAAAGTCATATATGCGACAGAAAAAGACTGTGTAGAGGTGTTTCAAAACCTTATGAGCCGTGAAATGCGCAAAAGGCGGAGCTTATTCCACAATATAAGTTTAAAACATTGACTCAGCTATCTACCATCTGTATACAGCTCGGGATAAATGTAAACAATAAATCTAATGTTTTTAGGAAGTGGTGTAACTAAGCCGACGACGTCCGGAGTTATGCCTCTGCGCATATGAAGGTCGCAGCTCATAAGGTTTTGAAACACCTCTATCACTGTTGCCTTTTTCTGCGTTATTGTGTTTACGAAGTACTTCTCCGTCTCATTGTATCCCCTCCACATGTGATCCAGTTCGCCTCCAGTCGAGTCCTCAGTCATCACATCCCTTCCATATCTGATCCCTTCCCTTTCTACACTAAGTTTATTGTAGATAGAACAAACAACAGTGTTGCCAGATGCCTGGTAATTACTAAAATCTACAATTTGGAATTTTAACTGGTAGTTGTTAATGGAGCCTCTAATAATGGCGTAATCTACGATAATTTTTTGGGAACGTCACTTTTTTTATAAAATTATTTACACCTTGAGAAATAACTAAAACCGTTTCATGTAAATTGCATAATATGCAATGAATACTGTTCCATTTTACTATGAACATTTGGCGACATCTAGTTAGTAGTAGGGCGGCATACGAGATTTTGTTCATGCAGCATTTATTTTATATTTATAAAATAAATGCTACACTGCACGAAAAATGAGAGCTCTACTCCTCTTTCTACAATGAGTACAGACTGCACACTGTGCTACATGTGGACGCATTTTTTCAAAGATTAATGTAATTTAATCAAAA